GGTGGTGTTGAAGGATGTGTTTCAATAAGGTGTGTTGTAGTAAAGCACGGATCCAGGAGGTGTGTTACAATACAGTGTGTTGTAGTGAAGCACGGAGGGTGTGTTGAAGGGTGTGTTACAATACGGTGTTTCAATAGGGTGTGTTGTAGTGAAGCACGGCTCCAGGAGGTGTGTTACAACACGGTGTGTTACAGTGAAGCACGGAGGGTGTGTTGAAGGGTGTGTTTCAACACGGTGTGTTACAGTGAAGCATGGAAGGTGTGTTGCTCCATGGCCTGTTGTGACGCAGCTCAGAAGGTGTGTCACCACTTGGTGTGTTGTGATGTGTTATTATGTGTTCTGATGGTAGTGCTTTCCCTCTAATACATCATTGCCATGTGTACATATTTCAAAACATCTGTATAAATGCCATACTCTATGAACATATTGACAGCTGTAATGACTTTTCAAGTACATGTACATACCGAACTATGTATATTATGCTCCTTTGATGAATATTTTACTAGCATACTCGCATGTTACCTGAAGATGCAATAGTTGTTGTCATAGTTTGTTTATGTTTGATTCTACCCTTTATTTCTGTTATTATGTTATTGCCTTGTTCATAATATGTTTGGCATTGCTTCATGCATCTTTTGAACACGCCATTTATGCACCGTGCGTGTCTCTGCATTCTGCGTGTCGTAGTTCTACTGGTTTCGTTGGTTTGTTCTACATGCACTTTTGCAACTAATTCTTCTCTGTATTTTCTTGGAGATGTGCAGTCGAACTGCAGAGCGTTTCTACTTGCACAGAATATACTGTCTATAACAGAGAGTTATTATTCTATTAGTATATTTATTATAGTGGTGTATTTTGTTTTGTTTTTTTAAGAAAATGAAAGAAAAGAAAGGAAAAAACACATTAGCAAGATGTAAGCTAAAAGTATGCAAAAAGTAAAGAGTATGCAAGGGGTAAGCGAAAGGCAAGCAAGATAAAGTGAAAAGTGAGCAAGGTTTGACCAAAGTGTAAGCCAACCCAGTTGATTTGTGGAATCTGGGGTAGGTTTTAGTCTCTTTTTAGTTGTGTTGAAACCCTTGGGAGTACAACTAAATAAAAATAAACACCAAGAACATGTTAAAGATTTCTGCTCACACGAAGTTCGGGATTAGCATATGATGGACTAGATATATGCAAATATAGAAGTAAATGAAAATGTGCTTGCAAAAAAAAAAAGAAAAAAAAAAAGTTGTACAAGAGTATTCAGCAACATGAGATTAAGTAGTTTCCATACATGTTCTGGAAATTAAAGTTACGTAAATGAAATTATTCATTTTCGATTTTGGATTACTAGATCGATCAGTTGTCGAGGTGCCATATACCAATTAATTATAAGACGCAGCAAACCACGGGTTATATCCTAACCTGTCCTGAAATCCTTGTCTCGGCTTGGAAAAAGTACTGACGCCATTTGGCGTGGAGAACAAGTCCCTTACTTACAGGTGAAAGAGACTGAAGAAATAAAAACTCGTTTTAAAAAACGATGTATTATACCCCACAGGTAGGAATATTATTGCAAGTTCGGTTATACTCTCTACATAGGTAGGACCGGAAAAATGAAACCTCTGAAGTTTTGAGACAGTATTGCTCAGCTTCTTTTTCCAGTTGTTGGTTTGTGTTTTGTTTTTGTTTTGTTTGTTTTTTGTGGTGTTCTTTTGTTGTTGTTGTTGTTGTTGTTGTTGTTGTTGTTGTTGTTGTTGTTGTTGTTTTTTGGGGGTTTTAAAAATGTTTTTAGAGGCCTTTTTCTGTTATTTAGTATTAAGTTTTCCTTCTTGTTGCATAGTTGATTTGACAACGGGATACTCGTGCTGGTGTCTGCTCCGATAAAACTGCTCTTTGTCTACTTATCTGGTTAGCCAAATCGATGGCTGCTCGCTGGACTTCGATAAACGTCATTTTGCAATTAAGCGTTTGTCGGAGTCTTGTACCCGGCCATCGAAGACCGAAACTTGAATTTATACCATTAATAGTGCAAACTTGTAATAATGCAAGTCGATTGAAATATGGAAGCTACTTTATTACGCTTTTCTCCCATGTCATAAACCTGTTTTCTGATCAATTGCGAAATCCTCAAATTCACTGGCTTGTAGTTTTTGCTACACGCTGTGTTCTTACCGACTACTCAGTAGCTGTACCACGCTTTGTTTACACTGTAGTGTAGAATATGTACAGCATTCTGTTTATACAATATGTCAACTAGCTTTGCCCTGTTGCGCGAAACAGTATGAATGATGAAGACACCCAAGAAAAGGAATTAATTGGAAAGTCACGTTTCTTTCAGCACTGTGTAACCTAGTGCGGAGTTCAGCCTTCTACGTTACTTTTACGTCAGCTTCAAGTGAACCGAAATGGTTGAAATGGAGGTGAGCGGAGAGGGGGGGGGAGAAATTTTGTGCAAATATATATGAACAAAGATCAATTGACCTACTTGCAAAACGGATTTGCGCCTAATCGTCCAAGCGACATGATCTGTTATAAGCTGCGCAAAGGTCAGAAGAATGATCTGCTCTCCATATAATGTCCATTTATATCAATGGCTGTGCTTTCATTGTGTGATCTTCATTTATAGATATATGTATTGTGATCTTGCAGTTCAAGTTGGAAAGATACGTTGATCATGTCTTGTCCCTGGGGTAAGCGTAGTTGAATTTCATAGGTTATGTGTGTTAAAAGCTTTTGAACTGTTTGAATACGGTTTTTTTTATTCCTTGGGGTTTTTTTCGTTTGTTTGTCGAGTTTTTTTAAAATTTGTTTATTGTTATTGGGTTTTTTTTAAAGATTGGCTTTGATAAACACCATCTTTAGGAAGTAACTCGTCATCCAGGTGTTACTCATTGCTGGTGTTACTGTTTTCCAAATCTTCTCGGTCGAATATAATTACGACAAAAATACTCATCTGTTCTTAAAATACTGCAGTATAAGTATACTGGATGGCTGGAATCAATTTTTAAAAGTTTAGTGTCACCCTTGTGTGATAAGTTTGCTTTGTCATGGGCTGATGTTTTGTTTTGCCCAAAAGTTCAGACATCGTTGTGTCTTCACGTCTCCCATGGCTGCTTGTGTTGGACGGTGTATTGTATTGTTCTGCCTTTGCCCTGACGGTGTGTAAGAAATTTGTCTGAGGGCTCGTGTAGTTCCCATCACCTTTTCGCAATAGAATGGTATTATGCTTCCATTTCTGATTATCATTCTGTTGTAAGTATTATTATTATTATTATTATTATTATTATTATTATTATTATTATTATTATTATTATTATTATTACTATTATTATTAGCATTATATCATAGTTCCCAGACGTTTAAGCCGCGGAGGATCTCAAGGTTATTACTGTCATCAGTAGTGTCAGTTTTGATGCCGCTGATGTTATTTGTCATCAACCAGGTCGTCTCCAGAGAAAAAATGGCAAATACTAATGAGATTTTGATTTTGTGGATGCCACCCGCCTATTAAACGCCATGTACATGCAATTCAACTAAAAATAGAAAAAACAAACAAATAAATTAGCAAGAGCTGCGGGAAAAAGTTGGCAGTGTAATAAATGTGTCAAAAATCAAAAGGGCTGCTATTATCTCCAGAAACTACTCCCATCACTCTTTATGGAGAACTTCTTGCAGAAATGAATAAATTCAAGCAGTATTATTAT